CGCCGCCGAGCCTCCCCGGCACCCCGAGCTGCTGGTGACGGTGGTGACGACGCGGCGGCGCGAGTCTCTCCCTTACCACTACCTCCTGCAGGTGATGCGCGAGCTGAGCGCTCTCCTGGGCGGCTGCGGGGAGCGGCCCTGCGCCCAGGTGCGTCGTCGTCGCCGCCGCGCGAATACGCCGCGCGCAGTTCGTCCAGCCCGACGTGTCCTCTAAGCCCGCCGAATGTCCCCCGCGGCAGGTGGTGCTGTGCGACGTGGCGAGCGGCCCCGACGTCAACGAGGACGCCAGACTGCTGGAGCGGCACTTCCGCGTGCTGCGCCGGCCGGACGACCGAGGGCGGCGGCGGCGGGCCGTCAACTCGTTTGAGCGCGAGAAGCAGGACTACGTGTTCTGCCTGCGCCAGGCCTTCCAGCTGGCCCGGCCCCGCAACGTGGTGGTCCTGGAGGACGACGCCATGCCGCTGCCGGACTTCTTCCGGGTGCTGAGGGAGCTGCTGAGCCGGCGCTTCGCCGCCCGCTCGCTCTACGTCAAGCTCTACCACCCCGAGCGGCTGCAGCGCTACTGGAACCCGGAACCCTACCGGCTCCTGGAGTGGGCGGGCCTGGGCCTGCTGGGCGCCAGCCTGCTGCTGGGGCTGCTGGCCGTCTGGAACCCGTGCGCGCTGCCCCTGCGCGCGTCCGCCGGCCACCTGGCGCTGCTGGCCGTGTACGTGATGGCGGCGGCCGAGCTGCTGGGCCGCCACTACCTGCTGGAGGCGCGCCGGCTCTCGCCGCAGCTCTACGCCGTGTCGCCCGCCACCGAGTGCTGCACGCCCGCCATGCTGTACCCGGGCAACGCCTCCCTGCGGGTGGCCGACTACCTGGACCGGGCCTTCTGCTTCGACGGCCACGCCAAGGACACGGCCCTCTACCGGGCCGTCCGCGCCGCGCCCGGAGAGCGCTCGCACAGCGTGGAGCCCAACCTGGTGGCGCACATCGGCGCCTTCTCCTCCGTCAGGCCCAACCCGGCCGAGCCCAAGTTGCTCTGAGCTCGGGCGGGGCCAAGAGCGGCCCAATAAAAGTTGGCTCCGCTTTGCTCGACCGTTTTTTTGTCCTTTGCGGCGCGTCCGCTCGAGGTCCGCGGCGGCGGCGGCGTGCCTGGACTCCGCCCCTCAGCCGAAGGCACTTTGCGCGTCATCTCCTGCGCGCAAAAAGGCGGCGGCTAACGGGTCGCACGCCGGAAGAGGCGCCGTCGGAGCCGGAGGAGGGGAAATGCGGCGAGCGCCGTACAGCGCGGGAAGGAAATGGCACCGCCCACATTTCAAAACGCGATTTTTATTCCACCTCAGGTTGAATATTCGCAAAGAATACAGACGAGCGATTGGCTTCTCGTTGCCGGAGACGGCGGCTAACGGGTCGCACGCCGGAAAAGGCGCCGTCGGAGCCAGAGGAGGGGAAATGCGGCGAGCGCCGTACAGCGCGGGAAGGAAACGGCACTGTTGCCGGCGGCTAACGGGTCGCACGCCGGAAAAGGCGCCGTCGGAGCCAGAGGAGGGGAAATGCGGCGAGCGCCGTACAGCGCGGGAAGGAAATGGCACCGCCCACATTTCAAAACGCGATTTTTATTCCACCTCAGGTTGAATATTCGCAAAGAATACAGACGAGCGATTGGCTTCTCGTTGCCGGAGACGGCGCAATCTTCGACGTAGCGCGGCCGCAAAAAATAATTCCAAAAGAAAAAAGCCGCTCAAGTCATGTGCGGCGGACGTTCTTTCTGGCCTTCTTCTTGCCGGTTTTCTTCTTGGCTTTTTGATGGGGGTGGGCCATCTCGCCTTTGTACGTGTCGTCTGGGCGACGGCGGCGCCGCTGCGGCGGCGGCGGGGCGCGCCTCGCCTCCTTCTCGGCGGACCTTCTCACCCGGATGGCTCGGCCCTCCACCTTGCTGCCGTCCAGCTTCAGCGCCAGCTGCACTGAGTCGCAACTCTTTGACGGCGGAGGACACGGGCGGGCGGGTGAGTCGCCGTCCGTGCGTGGCTCGCGGCGGGTGCGAGCGGCGCGCTTACCTCAAAGAGGACGTAACCGAATCCTTTGCCCAGTCCCGTGTTGTGGTCGCGCACCAGTCGGACGGCTTCCACGACGCCGCATTGCTCAAAGTGGCGCCGCAACGCCAACTCTTTCAGCTCTGGACGGGAAGCGCAGCGACGGCACGTTACCACGGCAACGGGGCAGCCCCGCCCGCCGACGGGCGCCGAGACTCACCGAAGTTGAGGTTCCCCACGAAGATCGAACGCTTGTGGTCGTGCTGCGGACGCAAAGGCCGACCGTCAGCGACCGGGCTTGGACAAACGCTACGCGTACACGGGGACTGGGGGGGAAGCCGACTCACGCTTTCGGCCGCCTTGGAGCTCACGCGGTCCACGCGGATGATGAAATCTTTCTCGATCTCCGCGCCGTTCCTGCGTGGGGACAAAATGGCCGAGGGGGAGGAGTCACAACTGCGACGGCGGCGATGAGGCGGCGGCGGCGGCGGCGGCACCGGCGGGCGACCACCAGAGCGCTTTGGCCACCCCTTGCGGCTCCTTGAAGACCACGTAGGCGTTGATGCTGCGCGCAGAGGGGTGAGCTTGGCGCCTGTCGACACAAGACGCGATGACGCTCAATGGGGGGCGGGGCAAGGGGGGGGGGCGTAGACGCGGAACGTGTGTGCGCGCGCGCCACACTCACTTGATGGCGGCGACTCTGCGCGACACGGCCGGGTCCTCCCGCACCTGCGGCGACCGGAAACAGTGGCGGTCATGTGACTTCAGCCCGGCTCCTCCCACTTTTGTTTACGATCGCGTTTTTGTTACCAGGGAGCGGAAGCGGATGGACTCGACGGCGCCGTCGGCCCGGAACATGCTCAGCAGCGTCTGCGGCGCGACAGACAACGCACAAACGCCGGGTGAACGCGCGCGCGACGCAGCCGAGGTCAAAGGTTGCGCCGCCGAACCTTCTTGTCGCAGCCGACGGGCAGGTTGCCCACGAAGACCGTCCTGCGGTTCTTGCTTTGCTCTTCCTGCTTGTCCCGCCGCCGCCGCTGCCGGGTTGAATCCCCCGCGCGGACTGCGCGGTCCCCACCCGTTTACCTCTCAACGGTTTCACGCCCTGTTGAACTCTCTCTTCAAAGTTCTTTTCAACTTTCCCTTAAGGTACTTGTCCGCTATCGGTCTCGTGCCGGTATTTAGCCTTAGATGGAGTTTACCACCCGCTTTGGGCTGCATTCCCAAACGCGCTCGGCCGCCGGCGCCGCCCGCTCGGCCTCGTCGGCGTTCTGCAGGCCGAGCTCCCTGCGTGACAACAGAACGCAATTTAAATCCCTTCCCCCTTCTCGAAATCGGGACCGGATCGGTCAACGAGTTCGACATTTTGACGGGATCCCGTCAAATTCAGCCTCGCGCGAAGCTACGCTAGCACTTCGCATCCCGAGCTCGACTCGTTTTTTTGACCGGCGATGAGGGCAGTTCCGCTCGACCTGTTGTCCAGCTTCTGCTCGGCTTCGGTTTTCACTTTTGGGATTTTCTTCCCTCCTTTGGGCTTTCGGCCGGCTTGGCCTTTGACCTCGGGGGCTTCCGGTTGCTCGCTGAGCTGCGGAAGCTGGTGGCAACAAGCACATCCAAATGTCATGCGGAGAGATTTGATATTTTCAACGCCAATGGAAAAAGGAAGAAAAAGAGAAGGGGGGGGGGAATAAACACAGTGGCGGGGTTGAGATTTGCGATTGGGCGGGACTCACCTGCGGCGCGGCCCGAAAGAGGACGCCCGCCGCCGGCGCGGCGCCGCCACCGCCGCCGAAGAGAGCCGCAAGCGAGCCGGAAGCAGTCGCCGCCGCCGCCGCGCGGTTCTTCTGGAGCAAACTTGCCGACACTTCGCCCACTCGGTAGTCGGAGGACGCGTCCGCGCTGAGCACAACGCCGACAAGGTCAAAGGTGACATCTCACGCGTATGTCACAAAACGACAATGCGAACATCGTCTAACCATAACATCGGTGACGTCGAGTCGAGAACGAACCTCTGAGCATCTTTCTTCTTCATGGTTTTACTCGGCAAAGCAAACGGCGACGCCGCCGACCTTTATTTCTTGTCGAACTGCAAAAAAACAAAACAAAACCAAAAAAAAAAAACCAACAACAACAACCTAGCAATTTTTGCTCTTCCCGGGCGACGCGTGCGCTCGGCCGGTTGACTGCGGTCCGTGCGCTAAACATGTCCGGAAGGAAACAAAAAAAAAAATTCCACCTTCGAACGTCGACGTTTCATCCGAAGCTTAATATCCCCGACGCAAAAAGTAAACCGTTCATTGAGGGGAAACAAACATACGAAATGAGTGAAAATACAAGTTTCGTATTTTCAGCGCCAAATATTTTACAACAGGAAATGAGTGGGAAAACCGCAGTGCGTCACGTAAAAGAGTCCCTCCGGAAGTGAGCGAAGGGAGAGCGCTCGCTATGTTTCATTTTGCTAGTTAGCCTCTCGGGCGTCCGAAGGGTGCCGTCATCAAAGCGCCCGCTTTTTTTTTTTATTGCTTGGCGTTCGACGAACCGTCGCCCCGGGCGACTTGTGGTTTAGAAGGCGGGGGATGGCGGCGGAGCAGACGGACGCCCTGGGCCGGCGGGTGTCGTGCGGGGAGCATCGGGCCACGGTCCGCTTCGTGGGCGGCGTGCCGCCCACTGCAGGTAGTACGCGAGGCGTCGGACGGGCGGACCGCGGTTGCCGGCCAGTGTCGGGACCTAAGCGGGTCAACCCCCTAAAGCGTTTCACGCCAACTGCGGAAGTGGCCACGAGTAGCCCCCCCATACACACACACACACACACACGCGCGCGCGCAGCGTTGTATACTCTGCCCTGCCACAGGCGGGCGTGTCCGGGCGTCCCTTGACAAACGACGCCGTGTGCCGCTCAGGGGTGTGGCTGGGCGTGGAGTGGGACGAGCCCGCGCGAGGGAAACACGATGGGTGCCACGAAGGCGTGCGCTACTTCACCTGCAGGTAATGGTCCTCCCGCCCGCTCGCCCGCCCGCCCGCCGCCGCCGGCTGACTCGCCCCCGCCGGCCACCTCCCTCGCCAGGCACCCGACGGGAGGCTCCTTCGTGCGTCCGTCCAAGGTGAGCTTCGGCGTCGACTTCCTGTCGGCGGTGCGGCGCGAGTACGCGTCGGAGGGGGACGCGGCCGACGCCGAGATCAGCATCTCGGGCAGGACGCTGGAGTGGGCGCGCGTGCCCGAGCGCAGGTGAGCTGCGCGGGCGGGGGCGGGGTCCACCTGCCGGCGACCGACGACGCCCACGGCCTCGTTGCCGCTCGTGTGTGTGCGTGTTTGCAGTTTGGAGAGCCTCCCCAGCATCCTCCTCCAAAACTGCCAAGTGAACGGGCCGGGGGAAGACGGGCAGATCCTCAGAACCACGCCCAGTATCTTTTGAGCGTGTTTGTCGGCGGCGGCGGCGTGCGTGCGCTCTTCGGCGTTTGTCGTTCCTGAGCATTTTTGCCCAGACGTGCGCTGGTTGGACCTGAGCGGCTCTCTGCTGCGCCGCTGGGAGGACGTGGCCGCCATCGCCGGGCAGTTGCCGCGTCTGGAGGCGCTTCAGCTCAGGTCTGGGGAGTCGGCGGCGGCCGGCCGGGCCGGCGGGCCGTCGCGCTCGCGCCTGAACTCTGACCTCTTGCCGCAGCTTCAACCGGCTCGCTTTGCCCTCGGATCCCGAGGCCCACCGCCGGGCCTTCCGCAACCTCAAAGTTCTGACCCTCATCGGCTGCGAGCTCACGTGGACGCAGGTAGGAGAGCGGCACGGCGCGATGGGCGCCGGGTCGGCCGCCGCGACCGCTCTCGTCCGTTTCAGATCCTGCGCTGCGCCCCCATGTGGCCGATGCTGGAGGAGCTCACGGTGGAGGACAACGACATCGAGCGGCTGCGCAGGTGCGGCCCGGCGGCGCGCCGACCGGACGGCCACGCCCTCCACCCCAGGAGGGCGTGGCCGAGCTAAGCGCATGCATGCGTGTGCGTTTCAGCCCCGAGGGTGTCCTGCGGGAACTGAGGTGTCTCAACGTGTCCAAAAACCGCCTGGACCAGGACAGCCTGCTCAGCCTCGCCGCTCTGCCGAGGTCAGCCGCCGCCGCCGCTCTTCTTTCCGCAACTTCTGCTCCCTTCGACGTTGTCGTCGTTGCAGACTGGAGCAGTTGATCATGAGCGACACGGGGTTCTCCGCCGTTCACTTCCCCGACGCCGCGCCAGGTATTCGCCGCCGCCGCCGCCGCCTCGTCCGTCACGCGTCGCTGACGTGCGCGTTCCCCGGCGGCAGGTGCGCAGACGTCCATGTTTGCCTCGCTGGAGAAGCTCAACCTGAACCGGAACCAGATCTCTGAGGTCAGAACCACCCCCCCGCCCGACCGCTCGTCTA